CAGCTGCTCAGCCAAGGTCAGTGGGAGGGGCCAGGCGTGCCAGAGAGGCCTGGGGGGGGGGGGCTGGGCTGAGAGGTCTCCCTGAGTGCAGGGTGGATGGAATGATCTCAGGAGAGTGGCTGGGGGGCCAGGTAAGGACCAGACTTCAGATGATGTCGAGGGCTCCACCCCTGCGTCATCCCCATCCACCCACAGCTTCCTTCGGAAGCATGTCCTAGCTGCTGCCCAGGCTTGAACCCCAGACCCCAGCACTGTGACCGAAGCCCATGGCCAAGAACGAGGCAGAGCTGGCCAGGCAGTCCCTCTTGGACCCTGCAGGATGCCCTAGTGGTCGAGTCCAGACCAACGGACAGGCGGGACCAGGATCACCACCTCCAGGAGCCTCTGGTTGGGCACTCCAGGCAATGCCCTGCAGCTGGTTAGGCAGAGAGCTGCTTGCATGTGGCCCCTCCTCCTGAGCCCAAGCCCACCCCCTGGTGCTGCTGGCAGCATTGGGGACAGCTGCCTAGAGCCAGAGTAGGGGTTTGGATGTCCCCCAGACTCCCAGGGAGCCTGATTATTTACATTCCCTTCACCACGAGATGTCAGACCCCCATGGTTCCAGTGCCTGTTGAGCCATGTTTCTGTCCACCTGGCCGTTCGGTTCTGCGCCCTCCCTTGGCCGCACAGGTGGGATAAACTGTCCAGGCTCCCTTTTGCTTGTACCCCTTTCCTGCCCCTGCCAGGGCCCAGGAAACCTAAGCCACCATCCAGAGTGATGGTCATCAGCACCTGCCCACTCGGCTGGGCACCTGCTGAGTGCTTTCACTCACTATTTAAAAGCACCCTCACCACACCCTGTCTATTGACAAGAACTGAGGCCAACAGAGACCCGGGACTGCCCAAGCCCCAGAGACAGAAATGGCACAACAAGGACTCCAGCCCTGGCCAGGGGACTCCACACCCAGCATCCACCCAGCTCAGCAGTGCTCTGGCGTTTTGTTTGGGAAAGCCTTGCTTGTTAGCATGTGTCCGGCCGCCAGGTTCATGGAGACCACCTTTGAGACACAGTCACGTGTGGGTATTCCCACTGCTGCTTTCCCAGGAAAACTTGGAAGTCACACCAGAGTCTGTGCAAAGGGCCAGGAGCCTGGGCAGCCCCTCCCTGAGTGGCTTGGAGCTGGTGCTGCCTGGCAAAGGGACAGTGCCGGAGGCACCTGGCAGACCCCACCCTCTTGCTCCTCTGCCCTCCCCAACTGCCCTTGGGGACTCTGAAATTCTCAGGGACAGATGAGGCTGAGCCCCCGTTCCCTCTATGTATCCTGAACTGGCCTTAGGCTCAAGGTCGGTCATTGCAGGTCCCAAGTGAAATTTGGGCAGCTGGCCTGGCACCTCTCATCAAGCGTGCCCCCGCCCCATGGGGAGGCCCCTCATCCCTGTCCAGCTGTCCTGAGTATCCCCACCTGCCTTGTGCCATCAGACTTTGTCCACAGGCCCCTTCCCGTTACTGCTCCTCTCCCCTTTGTCTTGCCTCCCCCCCCCAGCATTCCTGTCTCATCTTCCTTCTATTGTGCTCACTTTTTTATACTCTGATGAAAAATCAGAAATAAACCTGGTTCTCAAACGGCAGTGCTGGATCTGGGAGGAAGGGTTGTCCAACCCAGCCACCTGCAGCCGAGCCACCAGGGGGCAGTGGTGTTGCGTCCTGCAGGGGCTGCCTGTCAACCCCAGGACACCTCCTGGAAGTCACGCAATGCTGGGCACGACATACTGACACCCAACTGTACGTGGTTGCACTGTACGTGGTTCCTGGAGCTACTGTGACAAAAGCCCACAAAAAGGGTGGCTTAAAACAGCTCAAATTTGTTCTCTCTCAGTTCCGGAAGTCAGAAGTCCCAGATCCAGCAGGGCTGTGCTCCCTCCGGATTCTGGTGGCTGCTCAGGGAGTCCTGGGACCTGGACACTTCACTCCAGATCTCCCTCCACCTCCTTCTCATGAGGAGACTTGGCTTGAGAGCCCACCTGGGTAACCCAGGACAATCTCCTTATCTCAGAATCCTTAATCACATCTGCAGAGAGCCTTTCTCCAAATAAGGTCCCATTCCCAGGTTCAGGGATTTGACATGGACATCTCTTGGGGGATTCAGCCTCCCACACAGGGCAATGTCAGGACAATGGAAACACACAGATCACAGCACGCACCCCAGCACACACATACACACAGCAGACACACAAACAGGAACACAGAGATAAGCCACCAACACTAACAAACAGTAACATACCCCAACAGACACACAACACTTCCCAATACACACAACCACATGCGTGTAGTTGCCAGATGCACAGACACAAAGATATATAATAGCCCACAAATACACAAAATTATGCAAATGCAAGCCATAAAACACAGACACATAATGATCCCCTGTGGTACAGAAATACATGGGACACAGCACATCCCCAGTACACACAGACACTCTCTACATTACACAGCACCCTGACTCTGGACACACACAGAAACAACTGGTCCCTCACACCTTGACATACAGATATTTACACACAGACCTAAATTGGCACCCTGATGCCCAGACGTGCCACAGCCTGAACACACACATCCACCCAGACACTAGCCTGCAGACAGGCATTGATCTCACCTTGCACAGACATGCAGATATGCCCTCATGCCATGGTGTCCGAACGTGGGTGCCACCTGATGCACATTTAGGCACACACCTACCAAAAGACATTGACATGTCCCATGTGTGGACACCCAGACTTACACAGGGAAAGCTGATGACCTTGGATGCACCTCGGGGGATGCACACTGCTGGTCCTGTCCCCAGGGTGGAGATGGTCAAGGAGGGAAGGACATTATGACCCTGGCCTTGAGGAACTCTGTCCTCTTCCTCCTTGGGTGACACAGGCTGGTGCACACAGGCCTCTCTGGCTCAGATTATCAAGCAAATGGCCAACCAAGTGGATCCTCCACAGACAGCCTGCCTTGAGCAAAACAGATCCCAAGGTTCCCTTTGAGAAGGTGGCCCCCAAATCTGCTGCTGTCTTCTATGCCCTGTCCCCAAGCAATGCAGTGGCTGCTGGGGGACAGGGGGCAGGTGGGGCAGGAAAGGCCCCAGGGAAGGGGTGTACCTTGTAACTCCATTTCCTGGCTAGCAATTTCCAGCCCACACCAGCGCTGAGGAGTCCAAAATGTTTGTGGAATGTGAGAAGGGGTATTAAAAAGCTTCTAGGGCCGGCCCAGTGGCGCACTGGAGAGTGCGCCGCTTGGGAGCACAGCGGCTCTCCCCCCGAGGGTTCGGATCCCATGTGGAGACCGGTTCCCGCTCACTGGCTGAGCGCGGTGCGGGCGCAACACCGAGGGTTGCGAGCCCGTTGCCGGTCCCGGGTACGGGCGCGACACCAAGGGTTGCGATCCCGTTACCGGTCAGTAAAAAAAGACAAAAAGGAAAAAAGAAAAAAAAAAAAAAAAGCTTCTAAAAGTCAGTTTTAGGGCCAGCCCGTGGCTCACTCGGGAGAGTGCGGTGCTGATAACACCAAGGCCAGGGGTTCGGATCCCATATAGGGATGGCCGGTTAGCTCACTGGGAGAGTGTGGTGCTGACAACACCAAGTCAAGGGTTAAGATCCCCTTACCGGTCATCTTTTAAAAAATAAAATAAAATAAAATAAAAGTCAGTTTTAATTGTAAAAGTAATGTACACATATGGTAAAAAAAAGTTTTGATAGTATTTTATCGGGACAAGGTGAAACACAAAGTCTCCTTTCTCTTCCCTCCAGAGGCTTGAGTTCCTCCCTGGCAGATGGGGCTCCCTTGGGGTCACCAGCCAGCATGTTCCACCCTGTCACCAGCCCGCATTCTACGGGAAGATTTACTCCCTTATCTGCTTCGTTGGCTGGTGCCCCTGCAGAAGTTCAGGCTCTGGGAGAGCGAGGAGAGGACCACCACGCCCAAAATAGGGAAAGATTGATCCGATGGTCAGTGGACCCAATAAAGCCCCATAGTCTCAAGCTGCCCCAACATTGCCAGGAGCCAGGCGACCCTGATGGTGGCTAGAATCACAAGGGTGACCTCGGGGGCCAGCTGGAAAGAGGCCCAATCCTGCCCTGCCTGCCCATGTCTCCCCCCCCCACCCCCGGGGCTAGGAGGGTCAAGGTGTTGGGGCATGGTGGCCTCTCTCTTGTCCCCGGGCCAGGATGCGGTGACGTCGGGTCGCCTCAATCCGTGCCGGATTGGGGGCAATGCCTAGCGCCCATATCGTGCCTCAGTTTACCCTACTCTCCACAAAACGCCTCCCGTCCTCGGACAGCATAACTAGCCACCTGGCACTGGAGGCCCGGTCGAAGGAGGCGAAGGATCACTAGTCAGGCACAGCAGGCCGGGCGCCCCCTCCCCGCGCCTCCTCCCCTGGGCCCCCTCCTCGCGCGCCCCCTCCCCGAGGCCCCCTCCCCGGTGCCGTCCGCGGCAGGAATACCGCGAGAGTTCGCCCCCTCCCCCCAGTGAAACTGTCAAAGGCGGGAGGGGCGGGAGCGCGCATGCGG